AAAAAAAATTGGAACTCTGCTCCCTATCTCTTAATATTTCTTTATATATAGGGGCGCCTGGGTGGCTCAGTTGGTTAAGCAACTGCCTTCAGCTCAGGTCATGATCCTGGAGTCCCGGGATCGAGTCCCACATCGGGCTCCCTGCTCGGCGGGGGGTCTGCTTCTCCCTCTGATCCTCTTCCCTCTCGTGCTCTCTGTCTCTCATTCTCTCTCAAATAAATAAATAAAATCTTTAAATATATATATATTTCTTTATATATATATATTTTTTATCTCCTTTTCTCTCTGTGCTACATTCTTGGTAATTTACTTTCCAGTTTATTATGACCTCCTTAGCCATATCTAATCTGCTGATTTAGCCATCATTTGTCCCCTTTTCTTCCACAATTATATTTAAAATTTTTAACATTGTATTTTATCCTTTTTCTAATCTATGTGGCAGGATTTGATCATCTCTTACTGCTTTGAGTAAGGAATTTTCGTGATACCATCTTTTATTTCTTTACACATTTCATATATATTTATTTTATATTCTGTACCTGATAATTCCATTGTTTGAATCCCTTGAGGTCTAAATCTGATATTGCTGCTTTTGCTACTGATGCTGGATTGTTTCCTTATGTATTTGATGATCTTTCATTGTGAGCTCAGACTTAGATCAAGTCTCTGGTCCTACATTAAGGACCTGTCCAGAGAGGATTTTGCTCTGTTGGAAGCCAGGGAGATGACTATCACCTGAAGCACTAGAGCCTTCTTCCAATTTCTCTCACTTAATCTGGGAGTCTGAGGTTCAATGCTTCAGTCTTTTTCTGTTGACCCAAGACTTCTTTCCTTCCATTCCAGCACCAATATTGGCAATTAAATTGGTGACTGTCTTTAGGCATGCCTGTCTTTCCCATGTGCATGCTCCTCTACTTTTCTTTTCTGCTCAGTTTTCTTCTTTAATCTTCTAGCCATTAGGAATTTCCTGTAATCTCGGCAAAATTTTTTCTATGCAATCTCAATGTTGTATAACAGGAGGGTTTCCTGGCTATCTAATCTGCCATATTGCTAGGGCAGGAGTCCTATCCAGTTCTTTGTTCTACCCTTATGACTAATTTTGGCCCCCTCTTGTTGGTTTAGCTCCTTCCCAGGACCAGGTAAGGGAATCATTTCCATACTTTATACCTTCTCCTTTCCTTTGTGATAGCCCTGTGCCTGCCCTTGTCTTCAGCACTCATTTTATCCCCTTAACAGATACCCAAACTCAGAGTCGACAATGACGGTATCTTCTCTTTGACCAAAGAAACACCTGTTCTTTGGTTTCTTGCCAAGGACAGAATTTAGCTGTGGCTCTTTTCAAGCATCTTGGGTCTCCGGCCTCCTCCCATTTCTAAACACACACCATCTATTGTCAGCCCTAACCCACTTAAACATGATCTCTTTGTTGGCGTGGTTGAATTTCTATCTGCTGATGTCATTATTTCAGGTCCCTCCTGTGGAACTACAGAGTTCTTTCTTGCTCTTTGGGTCTCCAGAGTATGGCTTAAAGCTAAATGCTTTTCTTCCTTGGTTTACATCACTGCCTATAGATTGTTCTGTCATTTCTTGATTGATTAGTTACTTCTGCAGTGGTTGCCATCAGTTATGAGTGGCTTCAGATGAACAGATGAGGCGTATGAAAATACTTTGTAAACTAGAAAGCCCTGTACGATGCTGAGGATGATTCAGGGATAAGATACACAGTGTAGTTTAGGCTTCAGCTGACGCAGATGCCCCGGACTTTGATTATTTAGAAAAACACTCCAGAAAAAGAAGTCCTAAAGCCTTCTGAAGGTGCAAAGTGGTCTGCACAGGAAGAGTTGTCTGAGTCTTTCAAGGGGGAAACGGAATATCCTATTTAGAAGCATGCACCTCTGAAAGGTGGTGTGGAAGAGTAGAAGGAATTACGGCACTCGTGGACAATCTGGATGAGGAACTTCCAGAAGCTATGTTAATTCAAAATGATGAATTAACCATGAGAGCAAGCCTATGGTTCCAGGGCTAAAACTTGGAAGGTTTCTGATGTGCATGCCAGAGTGGGGCAACTAAACCTTACGACATAGCAGAAAGAGCCCTGGACTAGGATTCTGGAGACTTTTTTTTTTTTTCCTGATGAAAAAAAATTGATTGCTGTACTGTCACATGATGAAACCAGTTTCTTGTTAGGAGGCTGCCTTCCAGCTCGAATTCTGTGATTTGATCATCATTACCAGTTGACGTGGCTTTGTCTGAGTTGAAACACCACGGCTTGATTAATGATTGGCTTTGTTTCTCTTAAATCCCTGGGTTCCACTTCCCATGTTTCTGTTCCTGACTTGTAGGCAGGCAGTCCCTGAGGTGGGGTAGCAAAGAGAAGACACAACCTCTCTTTCCCCTAGTTCCTACTTCTACCTATTCCGTGATATGATCTATACCCAAGACCCAAAGGCTCGCAACAGAAGCACTAATGGAGTTTCCAATGTTGTTCCTGAGGCACATTCCTGAGAACATGGGACCTTGTCCCTTCTGTTTCCCATAGCACTTCTCAGACACTTCAGCATCAGGAACTCAGGAACTTTTTGATAGTGCTCTTCACACACATGAAAAGCATACTCGTAATTTCTAGTGTTAGAAATATTTTAGAATATCTTAATAAATTGCTCTGTTCGTCTTTCCACCTCCAAGTCGTAGATTTAAGGGCACCATGGAAAGCCTTCTCTGTGAGTTCTATGGATCACCCCAACTTGCTGCTACAAAGGTTACTTCTTTTAACTTCTGACTGACTCCTGGCTGATTCATTCTCAAAAGCCAGTGTGGGAATTCTCACTAAATAGCACAATGCATGACCTACCATTTACACTTCTTGTTTTCCTTCATGATATCGGGGTTGCTGTCCTGGTCTAGATGGAGGCTCCCCAGTTCCTGAGATCCTAGAAAATGAATCCATTGGTTTATTCACTTTTGAGTCATGCTTACCTGGGCAATCTCCTGCACCCACTCCTGCACCTGGATGCACAGGTCCAGGACTGGGAATTGCCCCCACACTACCCCAGATCAGAATCTCCCATTTTGTAAAGCTCTTTAGTAGTAAGGCTACATCCCCCCTCCATTTCTGTTTCTGCTTCTAATCATCTGTCCTTCCAAGTCTTTCAAATATGGCTTCAGAAAGAAAAATTGCTTATTTAAGATCTGGCCCTCAGTATTTACTTCCAGCTAAAACTTGTTTCTCCCCCAACTAGACTATAAGCTTCCTCTTGGTGATAGGAACTGTGCCTTTTTCTGTTTGGACTCCAGAAACTACAACAGTGCCAGGCATATAGTAATTGCTGTATCCTTCAGTGACTAAATGAATTAATGAATGATTTCTCTTAATGGGCACTCAATGGGTGAGTACAATGAGCTTTCCTATTATTTTCTATCTCTTAATATTGCTGAGACTGACTTGTAAATTTTGTCAAGTACAACCCATCTCTAAAACAATATTTAGGGTTGCCTGGGTGGCTCAGTCGATTAAGCATCTGACTCTTGATTTCAGCTCAGGTCTTGATCTCAGGTTTGTGAGCTCAAGCCCCATGAAGTACCTCTCCTCACTGAGCTTACATTCTAGAAGTAGAGAAATGACAGCTACATATACTAGCTAGTGGTGTATGCTTCAAGAAAACATAGAGCACTCGTATGACGCACTTAAAATGGTACCTGGCATTCCAATAGCCAAAAGGTAGAAACAACCCAAATGTCCATTAACTGATGAATGGATAAACAAAATGTGGTCTATCCACACTGTGGGGCATTATTCAAGCGTAAAAAAAGGAAGTACTGATAACATGCTTGAAGACGGATGAACCTTGAGGACCTAAGTGAAAAAAGGCAGATACCAAAGGTCATTTATTGTATGATTCCATTTATAGGAAATATCCAGAACAGGCCAATCCATATGGACAGAAAGCAGATTAACGGTTGCTGGGAGTTGGGAGAAGGGGTATGGGGTTTGGTAATGGGTATGGGGTTTCCTTTTGGGATGATGAAAATGTTCTGGAACTAGATAGTGGTGGTCATTGCCAAGATTGTAAATGTACTGAATGTCACTAATGGTAAATTTAATGTTATTGGTATTTTATCACATTAAAAAGAAATAGTATCTGGCATAATATAAGCATTCAATAAAGCTTATATATTATTTTTTATAGCAATACGAACAATAATCTCTCAAATAGAAAATTACCTAGGAGTGCCTGCGTGGCTAAGTTGGTTAAGCATCTGCCTTCGGCTCAGGTCGTGATCTCAGGGTCCTGGGATCGAGTCCCGCATTGGGCTTCCTGCTCAGAAGGGAGTCTGCCTCTGTCTCTGCCCTCCCCCCGCCCCTACTTGGGCTCTCTCTCTCTCAAGTAAATAAATAAAATCTTTAAAAAAATTACCTAGGTAAAATAAATTATTAAATAAGTTTTTAATCACTGGAATGCTATGCAGCCTTTGAAGAGAGTGAACATGGTTAAGTACAAATACAGAAAGATGTCCAAACCTACAATGAGAAAGAAAAAGAGCTGCAGATGAGTCTACATGGTACAATTTATGTTAAAATACACATGCACATGCACACACATATGTAATATGCCTGGAAAAAACTGGACTGGAAGTAGACGCATAAGAAAAATGAGGATAGTGGTTTTCTTCGGGGTGAATAGGTTGGGGGGGACGAGGGATGGCTTTGTTTTCGTACTTTATGCCCTTGTGTATTGAATGATTGTGTGTATATGTACAACACATAATGTATTGGAATTTTAGATGATGAGCTCAGAGTTAAGAGTATGAGATGGTGATTCAAAAATCCTAACCTGCTCAGAGGTGGCATTACAAGAAACATGGAATCCAGGACAAGGGAGGTAATTACCCATCGTGAGAATTAAATTTTTTTGGCTTCATAACTCGTTATGAAAAACAAAACTGGACTTGCCACGTGGTGTAAAAATCCTTCTGTATCTGAAAGTGGTTTTCGCCGCTGGTCAGAGGTGTGGCAAATTCTTCTGCTTCTCAGAGGGCCGAGTACAACCGCAGGTGTTAGACAAGTATCTGTCCAGGGTTCCTCAAGTCCCACACGAAGGGCAGGGCATGTGATGTTCTTCAGCTTTGGGGCCACTTTTCCCCACGTTAGAGCACGTCTTTAAGAATGAAGCTAATACAGGAATGTAAGATACTATTAAGGAAAGCCATTTACAAGTCTGAACTCTTAAAAAAAATCATTTTATTGATCCTTTACCATACAAAATTTATTCAAATTACACCCATTTGAAGTGGTAAGATCACAGCTAGAGAACAGGTTACCCTGTAACAAATCTATTTACAAAATCCATCATAAAAGCTTTTTTTTTTTTACATTATATTACATACTTTCTTTTTTTAAACTAGCATACAACACAAAGCTAAACCGATTAGTAGTTTGCCTACTCCCAATTTTGGGAGAAATGCTTCCTTTTGACAAAAATCACGTACCCCGTAGGAAAAGAAATTCCCACAATCTGACAATTGCCACCTGACTCACTCTGCAAGCCATGTTCCTTCAAATCCCCCCTCTCACACACAGGCTGTCATGCACACGTCTGAGTTCTTACTTTCTTTTTTTCCTGAAAGCTAAAGCTTTAAATACTGTGGTTTTATTTACAGATCTACACTTAAAAACAACAAAAACGGAAATAAGAACCACAACAACAACAACAACAAAAAACAGAAACAAAATAGAACACTCTTAAAAAATTACAAACCAGCTAGAAAATATTCTGGCAGTGTTTACAAATTAATTGCTATTTTTTTTCCTTGTACAAAATCGCTAGATAATGAAAGTGTGGAGGAGACTACAATCAACTTAAATAAAACGATCGCTATGCACAGATCTGTACATATGAACACACACCTAACACTGTTTGACAGCTCATGTGTTGCCCTTTATACACTTTTTATTTTGTAAGGCTCACGCAGTCATAATTCGCACACTTGTAACTTTTAGCCATTTCATGTGTGAGCATTAATAGCAGCAACTCAATGGTACCAGAAAACCTGCATACTTAGTACGTAAAGTTACACAAATACTGTAGTATTAACCCACTTTGTGTGCCAGATACTATGTCAGAAAGAAAAAATGGGCGATGCAAGCAGAACACAGCATGGACAGCTAACTCAGGGACACCAAGCTCAGCCCACTAACTGGAAAAATCTTATGCATGAAGGAACTTTTAAGACTTATTAGTATTCCTTTCATTTTCAAAACAATAAATACGGCATCATTACATTATGAAAAGGCTTAAGGAGAAAGCCAACAGAACACACAACCACCTAGCCAGGTGAGAGCTCAGTCTTTAGACTTTGGAAACAAAATCAGCTTTGTGCAGCTGATAAAGAGAATCACGACAAAGCCGGAAACAGAGGCAGCCAACCAGATGAGACAGATATGGGAAATGGGCAAAAGCTTGGCATAAATGGTTTCCCGTACAGGAAAAAACCCCACAGTGCATTTCCAGTAGGCACTTGACACAAAGCTCCCCCCTCCCTCCCCCACCCCAGTGCTTCATCACAGACCACACTGCTGTTTGTACCAAAGCCAGCGTGTGTGAGGGAGGAGGCTGGGGACGGAGGCCGAAGAAGAAAAAGGAGGATAATGCGCACCTTTGTTTCCCTTCCCAAACACACACCCACGCACACCCACACAAAGAGTTTAAAGTGCTGGTATCATTGGGTTTGACCCTACCACCACTTTGCATATTGTGGAAGTCTACCTCGAATCAACTGGCTGGGGCTCTCGTGGTTTGGTTTGCTTTCGTTTTGTGTTTTTCCTAAGGGATATTTTCGATTCCATTAAACACACAAATCGAGTGCTACTGTGTCAGGCACGTAGCATTTCAATTTAACTGTTTTGTTTGGAGGTTTGTTTTTCGTTTTGTTTTGTTTTTTAACCGTACTCCCTCATTCCCGCCGTCTTCGGGATCCAAGCAATGGACCTGAGGTACCGTGCCACATGCCCAACGGGAGAAGGGTACCTCTCCCCGGGGCCAATGGGAAAGCCATTCTTGGACCTAACTGCTAGGACTTGCAGCTGACACGAAGCCTCCAGCTGGGGGACACCATTCCTGAAGAGTAAAGTGGGGCACGCCCTGGCATTCTATCACTTCTTCCACGTAACGACTTCCCTTGGTCCAACTTACTCCTTCATGGAGGAAGGGGAATGGGTTCTGGGCCAGGATGATGGCAGCCCCCGATGCAGGGGGGAACACCCTGTTCTCACCAGCTTTTAAGTAAATGCCACTGACACAGTGGGGATGTCTTTGTCCCCAGAGGCCTCTCCATCTGACCCCCATCCTGAGAAGTGGTCTCCCTGAGTGCAGAGTAAGAGAGCCCTTGCCCCAGTCCTAGGGCCAGGAAGCCCAAGGACGGAGGGATCCACACCTGCTGCTCCTTGGGACTGCTATGTCATCTGACCTGGTTCTCTTCTCAAATGGGCCACCCGTGTCTACGAGCGAGCGAGCGAGCGAGCGAGCCCCAGGACTGACTCGCTCCAAGCTCCCCGCCCTGGGAAAGGAAGCAAGATGGGGCAATGCTTCTTGCAGAGGCTGTTAAACCTTAGATCACACACGTTTAGATGCTCTGATCAGTAGCGGTCCTCTACCTCTGCTTAAATAATGTGAACTAGCAAAAACCGTTTCAAAGTAAACAATTAAATTGAAATGGTGCTGGGTGCCACAGGAATGCTTAAATGGCAGCTTAAAAGAAAAAAAAGGCAAAAACAATCCACAGAAAACTCCTAAGTAAGCATTTGCTACAAATCAACTTTAAACTTACAAATACATTGGGGGCAAGGGAGTGGGAGTGGTTAATGGAGACAGGAAAATCCACAACAGCTTCAAGTGGCAGATCTACCGTTCCTCTGTATCTGCAACAAATATTGGAAAACAGGTTCTTCATCCGAAAGGCTGTGCAGGTTCTCTTGACCTCCTAGCGGCACACAAGGTCTGTAGCTTACACTGAATTATGACAGTAATTTAAATATTCCTAAGAAAAGCTGAAGAAATCCATTTCATACTTTTGCATGACTTCAAGTTTACAGTTCCTGCTGTTCCATCCCTATGAGCAGACCCCAAAGACATGCATTCCGCGGAGAAGGCACGGCTTGAAATGCTATTAAGGAAGATTGCTGTTTTCGAGTGGGCCAGGTGGCCAGACCCCATTCTACAGCCCATCCGTCAGGCACAGCAAGCCAATCCGGGAGGGAGGGAAGAAAAATATGGGTGAGAGACACCTGATTGCACATTTTCTCACTTGCTGACTCATCCAGGAGATTTTGGAGCCTGGGGCATAGCAGGGCTTTCCCAAGGGAGCCTGCGACTGTGCGTTTAGACCAAAAAAAAAAAAAAAAAAAAAAAAAAATTTTTTTTTTTTAAAATTCATCAAAATGTCAGCTTTGTTCTGAAGTTTGTAGTTTACTTCATGATACTATCTCGGAGGAAGAAGGTAGGAAGGGACAACACTGCATGACAGATGTTCTGGTTCCATAATAAAAAAATATTGGTTTATAAGGGGAGGTCACACAAAGTGTAATCAACTACACATGAAGTCTTCCACCAGCGGGAGCTTTTCCAAATCATAAGCATCAAAGAGATCACTGATGCCTTCTTCCTCCCCAAGACTTAGGAGATAGTCTTCTTGGAGCAGGGGAGGCAGTAAGTTCACAAATGGTCCTTCTAGGTTGGAAGGAATTTGGTCCTCAGTCTGCTGTAAGAGGTTCGCTGGGGAGGCCAAAGGAGAAAGGTTTGCCATAGAAATCGAACAATCGCTATGTCCTGAGTTGGTTGAAGCCAAGTCTGAAAGGGGAAAAAAAAAATTGGAGGAAACCGAAAAGTAAGTTAGGAGAAAAATCAAATCAACTTGCTGGAACACTATGCACGCTGCTGTTATAAAAGCATGTACCCTCTGCTAAGGACGATCAGATGCCACTACGATCCAGCCCGTCTTGTGCTAACTGTTCACCGTGACTGGCAGCTTTTCTCTGTTCTGGTCTAACTCCCTCAACTTTTGAGATGCCTACTGTTAGCAAACAAGAATACAAATCGTTTCAAAGATTAGAGACTAACAAGTTCAAACACTTCTCTCTGCTATCAGCTAGTCAATATTTAAGGAAAACAAAACAAAACACATACTAAAAAGGTGGCTTCCTCGTAGGGACTCACTGATTTTAACTTAGTCTTTTTTGAACAACTTTTTATTTTTATTTTTTTTAATTTTTTTAATTTTTATTTATTTATTTGAGAGAGAGAGAATGAGAGAGAGCACATGAGAGGGGGGAGGGTCAGAGGGAGAAGCAGACTCCCTGCCGAGCAGGGAGCCCGATGCGGGACTCGATCCAGGGACTCCAGGATCATGACCTGAGCCGAAGGCAGTCGCTTAACCAACTGAGCCACCCAGGCACCCTTGAACAACTTTTTAAAGATACTTCTTAAAAACGCATGTAATAAGACATGTCCGCTTTGAATGTCCACGGTGAAAAAAGTGATCTTTCATTTTCCCATCTGAGGTGCTGTGGCGATTATAAGTGCTCAGTATTACAAATCAGACCTGAGTCACCTAAATCGCTCTAATTCTTGCTGCTATATTGGGAGACAATAGGGGGAAAGATTAAATACATATCCCCAGTCTGAAACCGAAAAAAGGGGGAAGAACTTAGATATTCGTGGGCTTTTCCTCCCATATCTTTTCCCCATCACCCTGGGGGGTTGGGGAAGGGAGCAGAAATTAAGTTACAACTTCTTTGACAAGAGGCTCTGCTCCAAACTTGCTCCCTTTCGCTAGCATGATCTCTGCAGCATCATGAGGTGTGTGGCCAAGTGGAGCTGATGATTCACCCAGAGAGCTCACAGTTTCACTCCGCATCTCAGCTGGCTTTCAAAACATTTTAAGGGAAGCGGTTGCTGCCCATAGCAAAAGCCTGAGGGACTCCATTCGTGGGCGGAGAAGTCATTGGCTCAAAATCATGATTTTATTCTGTAACTAGTCAGAATGCCTTAAAAAAAAAAAAGTTACCTTAATAACGTTTAATAACAGAAGTTTTTGTTTCTTGCCTAGGCATGTGGTTCCCACAATGGATCCTTCTGGTCACCTTCATTTTTAATATAGTTTCCAAATAACAAGAGTGGAATTTTTACCTTTGGAAGGGGGTTTCGGGATATTCCCATTGTGGTCTTGGTTGTTTGTTTTCATTGGACTGTGTGTTTCTGTCTCTTCTGGACACAAATAAACCTCAATGGGCCCTTGGGTACTTGCCAAATGTATTTGTAGGCTCTATCAACAGAAGAGGCGAGAAAAGTTCAAACTGAGAAATGAGAGCTACAGTAATTTTCATCTAGAAATGGGAAGGGTAATTTTCATTGTTCATTTTGTTTCTTCACTGGTAGCCGCCCCCCCCACCCCCCCATCAACAGATGACTGTCATCCTCTAGAGGAGGGGCCAGCAAACAGTAGCTCGAGGGCCAAATCCAGTCCATCAACTGGCTTTGTAAATAAAGTTTTATTGGCATAGAATCATGCCCATTCCCACTGTTTACAGATTGCCTCTGGCTGTTTTTTTTTTTTTTTTCTTCTCACGCTCTAATGGCAACGTTGTGTAGTTGAGTAGTCCCAACAGAGACTTATGGTTCACAAAGCCAAAAATATTTACTCTCTGGTCCTTTAAAGAAAAAGTTTGCTGACCCCTGCCCGAGAGGAGGGGTCTGTGTTCTTTAAATATATTCCTTCTATGCAAACTATGAAAAGGTCCTTTAAGTGTTCTAAATACAGTATTTCCATGTTGCTATCCCTTATGGTGGGGCGTTTTTATGTGAACTTTAATAACCACTGGATGAATAGTATACTTAAGTGCTAGGAGCAGAGTTTAGTAAGAGAATGCAGCACACTAACATCTAAAATTCTTCTTCATCTGGGTCATAGAGCTATTATTATAATTTAGGTGAGAACTCTACCCTAGATGGGAGCTTGCAAATCTCACTTTTTATTTCCTATGCATTTCCTTTTTGCTACATTTCTTTATCTTATAGTTATGGTCCAGGCCTATATTTGCAAAGATTGTCGGAAACCAATCACAAAAATATGTGCCCTCCTTTCTTATAATATTCTAGTCTACCAATTCAGCCAAAGTCGTATGTGATTTCTTAAAAGTAAACACGTTCCAAAAGATAAATTCTTAAAGTGTGCTAAGATAAGTTAGGGAGATACTTTCTTTTTTTTTTTAAAGTTAGGGAGATACTCTAAAACATTTATGTCTCTATTTCTAGTGGGGATCATATCTAGGGCAATCAGCATAAAATTCCCCAACGGTTCAAATCAATCAGAACCGCCAGATACCAAATTATGAGCAAGAAAAAGTATCAGAGGGACAGGGCACCATACCCTGAGTTCAATGCCCCATGATGTTAAAATTAGACTTTTGGGACACTCAATACGTATTGAACTGTTGAAATGTTTTTGAAGTTCAGTTTAAGTAAAATGGATGGGAAAGAACCATTGAGTGTTAAGGAGGATACATGCTTCGACCACACGTCAATGATTCTTTAACTTCAGGCATTCCAAAAAGATCTCTGCAGGTGAACAAAGACATTATCTCCTTACCTCTATTGGGTCAGGCACTTCAAGTCTTGTTTCTGGAGGGGCTTTGACAACTATAACAGTTTGGTCTTTAAGGCCACTAATTTTTCGAATATCTTGATATGTAACGTAAGCTAACGTAGTGAGTGTTAAGGAATGTAACCATTAGAAGATTGACAGAACAGATGCATGGAAAAATTTTCAAGTATTTTATGACTTGTAAGAATATACTGGTCTCTCTGTCTCGATCTTTAAATATATGGGATCTCTCGTGAATCTTCTTTTCTGGTTGATATTCTAAACAATAAGACAAATGCATGGCGTTCTCCTACCCATTTCTAAAAAAGTCCATGGCAATTTAAAATGTTAAACACAGAAACAGAATAGTTAAACTATCAAAAGAAAACCAAAAGCCAGTTTGGTCAGGTTCTAGCCCAGTTCCTCTGGAGCATGGACATTCTGTGAACTTTGGTCAAGTGTTCTGTCACTCAAATTGAATGATGGCAGACCCCAATTTACAGAAGAAAAAAAAATGTAAGCTCTATTGCTCATATATTTTTTGGAACTCCAGTAACTTCTATCTGCTGCTTGACCATTAGCAAATGTCAGTAGACGCGCACATGAACGTGTGAGTAGCAAACAGATATATCGGTGGAAGAACTAACTCAGAAGATGGGTCAGGCAGACAGCTGGTTTTCTTAAGGGCACCTGGGCTGGTTGTGATTGTATACTGCCTACCGATAAGAGAGCCATTATTTCTCTGTTAGAAAAATTATCCTTTGTATGATATTACTATCAATATCTCAGTGTTCACAAGGAGGGAACGCAGCTTCCAAGTGCTCTGCAACCTGAATCAATTTGAGAAACACTGTAGCGGGAAAAGAGTGAATACCCTTGGTCATGACTTCTGAGGACTGAGCAATTCTTTTAAGTGCCCTGGCAGCTGAATCTAAGAAGATATCATGAAAGAATATGGTACTTATTACATGATAAAAAGTATTCATGCAAGCTTGCCTGGAGAGACGAGTTTTTACTTGGCACTAAAAGAGCTCACATAGCTCTAAGAGTCACGTAGCTCTCTTCTATAAGGGACATGGGGTAACATAATTAATGTACAATGTCTTTAGCCTGTTGCGTTTTTTATGTTAGCCCACAAAAAATGCCTAGGCTAAAACAGCAAATCACCTGACTCAATGAAGGCCTTTCTGAAGGTGATATAATATTAGCAAATAGAGTCTGTGATCTAACACGTTTAATACAGAAATAGGGTTTAGACAGTCAGGAGGAAATGATGTCTCTTAGAACAGTGGCTTTTAATTAGAAATTGAAGGAAGCTATGAACCTACTGTGCAGAAAACAAAGCACATCCACCCCAAATATGTATATACTTTTAGGGGCATCTACCGCAGACTATCTTCTTTACATCTTAATGGTTGAGACAAGAGCTAATTCAGTGCTGAGCTTGACAGGACAGCTCATGCAAGAGTCCGGGTCTTAGGTCACCATGTATCGCATCAAGGAAGCCAACTGTTGCCTTCATACGAGACTTGACAGTTCTGACAAGTTTTTACTGAGAACACGGGGAAAGTGATAACCAGGTACTTACCCCACAGCCCACTGTCAAAAAGCTACGTGACAAGAACTTATTAAAATAAAAACTCATCTACAGTTACTCAACGTGCTGCAGGAAGGAAAATTTCAACACATTTGTGAACAAGCTGTACCACATTCGGAAGTGAATGGCGAATTGAAAAAAATTGTGCAAACACATTTTCTAATCTTCCAAACTTTAAAGTACTTCCACCGTGGCTCCCTCCTGAATTTGCTTTTTTGGGTTAGCAGCTCCCCGCAAGGAAGCTTCCAGTTTCCGCAACAAAGGTCCCAGAGAAAGCTAATGTCAGCGACTCTGCTGTAAGCTGCACGTTCCAGAGAGCTGCCAATCGTCCTCCATGGGGCTCCCAGCTAAAGAGTGAATGAAACAGCCCGACTAGAGCTATTCTTGTTGCTTCCCCTGTAAACCCACTCTGGTGCCACTGGGGGTTCAAATCACCACACCTCTTCTCCACCTCACTAACCATCAGCGGACAAGATCAATCCTGTGGTCAATAGAAAATGAGCAATCGCAGTTTCAAAAAACTGCCTGAATTGGGAAATGAATGTCCCCATACCCTCCAAGGGAAAGTCTATCAGACATAAAAGGTAATGTGGAACAATCAGAAGTGGGGAACACAAATTAGAGATGGGATGTCTTAAAATACTGGCTTTGTCTTCTACACGTAACTGAGAACATTGCAAGATCTTCTTGTCAACACAATGAAGTCCTCTTTCTTCCTTTTTTTTGGGAGTGAGATGAACAGTGAGTTTTCCTGTGATGGCCAAAAGATTGTCAGCCAGTTGACAAGAACTGGCTTTTAAAAATTTTTATTTCCAAGGACCAATGTCTGTAAATGAATGGATAGACTGAGATGTCTCAGGCCTGGGCCGGGGGGGTGGGGGGTGGGGGGAGGGGGGTGCTTCGGAAATCAGTTTCTGGTGTTGTGCATCAGCAATAACGCACGGTAGAGGTTACAGAATGATTTTTCTAGACTCTTCACTCCTTCAGCTATAGCTCAGACAGATTCAACAAATTCCAATTGCTCCAATATCTGATGAAAAGAAAATAGAATGTGAGAACCCCAACAGTGACAGCGAACGCCCACCAAAAATCTGGGGAGATAGAGAGGGAGCTGCTGGATGATGTCATGAATATTAACGCTGACACCTTACCTATCTTAGAATAGTGCTTCCTTACGCACTGCGTGTATCCGCATGTCCACAACCACACGTGAATGACACGCGTTAACCCGAGTAAAATTCTACCTGTGTGTAAGCGTCAGCGCGTGAACGCTGGGTGTGTTCTAGAAGGCACTAACCCCCAAGGAACAGGAGCACAAAGGATATCTTTGATTCTCTGAATCTTCGGTTAGCAGTTTGAGGTCCAGGGTGCAGCTTTGGATCAGTTCATCTAATTTCTTCTCCTCCTGGCTGAGCTCGGTCACTTCCTTGGACAGGCCTTGACACTGGGCCAGCATGCCCCCATCCTCAGACAGACTGCAGCCCCTAGAAACCCAAACACAGACTCTTCGTGGCTGCTCGGGGGGCCAAGGGGGCGAGGGTGCAAGGGAGGGGCAGTGAGAAATGGTCCTTCTGAGTAACATGTCCCCTCTCGACACAGGAGGTCACGCTGCTTGTTAGCCAAGTGTTAAAATCAGAACATTTATACATTTGTATATATTTTTTGTCCACACGGTCCTTCACCTTTCACACCACAGAAATTTAAGTGTGTGGGGGGGAACCCCGAAAAAACTCCTACACTGTTATTTTCAGGTTTCTTTCCTTCAGAGGAGGGCTGTTTTTTCAGAAGGCTCAAATTCAAAGGGCGAAAGGAGGAGTTCCTGCCTGTCACATGCCTCCCGGGAGGAAAGAGAAAGAAAGAGGGGGAATAAAAAAGGATAGAGAGACATGGAAAGATAGAAAAATGTGAAAGAAAAGATGAGGAGTGGTTCAAAATTCAACGAAATATCATTCGGGAGGCACAAAAGACCTAGGCAGTTTCTGAGGGTCTTCTACCAACCACCGAAAAGGAAAAGTTTAAGGGAACAGATGTGTGTGCTGTGTGCAAGAACAAAGACCAATACCCAACAGGTTTCTCGAAACCACAGGCCTAAATGGGTCCCTGAATCGTCACAAAATTCCCCAAAAGTACAAAAAGTTATCCGCACTCATCTCATGTTTGAGGGAGTCTGTTTTCAGAGCCACCCTATAAGACCCTTGTTCCTTCCCACAACACTTTCATCGTCCCTTCTAAAATACTGGCTGTTGGGATGCTCCGTCCGTAATTCACGAACGAGATTAACCACACACTGAATCACACGTGTGGGTGGACGGGTGACATGTGTTATCATCCCTGCCTTCCATGAGGAACTGAGGTCTCTAAGTCTCGCCTCCATTTACCCAGAAAGCGAGCTGACCTGCCGCCAGAGCCACGGATGAAGATACGTGGTGATGGGGCACCTACACGGATGTGTTCATACACAGCCGGAGTTCATTTCCAAAGCCCTGTTAGAGACAAGCCGAAGACACGAGCCCGCATCCTTTAGATCACACACACGGCCTCGCGGCTGCAGATGAACGACATCCTACTTGACATCTGCAGGCCCCCCCTCCGCCGAAATCCCGGGATCTCCTTGCCTGAGGCTAATCAAATGTCTCTGACAGCATCTAGAGGGTAAAGAGACTTTGAACTTTGGGCTAAGGAGTCGAGGGGCAGCGGGGAGGAGACCACGGGAGTGGAGTGCGGGCGTGATCGTGAAATCTGGGGCTGGGGGTGGTGGCTCGTACTCACATCCACTGCACGTTGTTTTTCGACTTCTTCTTAATGAGGTGGATGCCTTCCAGCACGTTGGTGATGTCGTAGATTCTCCTCTTTTGCACCTTCAGCACCTCCGCCGCCTTGTTCAAATCCAAGACCCCGTCAGGGGACTGGCTCAGGAGCTGAATGAACTTCTTGGTGAGCAGACCAAGTGATGTGTCATACCGTGTTTTTTCTGAGGGAGATTTTGGAGCTTAAAGAAAAACAAAAGCCGAGCAGGTGGGGGGGATAGGGGGAAAGGTAAAGAAATGAAGGGTTTCTTTGCAGGTAGGCAAGCCCTCTTTCCCGTTGCAGCCCAAGTATTAGTGTCCAAGCAAAGCCGCTGTTGTTGTTCTCGGTAAGTTACAGAAAGCTATGAAGTGGCTTTATTAGAAAAGGAAGGGACAGTACAAATTCCTATTTGATGAAAGCTTTTTGCTGTGAATTTCTCAGTAGCTTCTACTTTGCCTCACCCTCCTCCCTGAGTCTAGTGAGGTATCCCACACATCGTAGGTGCTCAATGTTATCTGTTGAATGAATGAAAACGTGCTACAGTCTCCGAGGACCAGCACGTGGGGAGCCCAACCCGATGGGGCCGGGGCTGCGAATCTCTCCTGCATTTCATGACCGGGGCTCAGACAGACCCCTCATAGCTCGCTTTGCAGGCTCCACGGTCTGTGTGTGTCTGTGACTTAGTCACAGCTTTTCAGGGAATGCTTCATTTGGATGAAGAATACCTAAACAGTCCTTCCATCGACTCGCCCCGTCCCTCTTACATGTTATGTCCTCATTCAATATCGTATTTATTCTATCGTGCGGGTGTGCATCACACAGGGTTTGTGGACGGCCTGATCCACAAACTCCACAAAAGGGGCGAACAAAGTCTAATTTAGCGTCTATGTTAAATGCCAGAGACATAAAGGACTATTTCGCTGTTTCCAACCTACTTTTCTCTCTCTCTCTCTCCCCAAAGAAACAAAAGGTGGGGGAAAGAAAAAAAAAAAGAAACAAAAGGTGGGAAAGAAAACGAACTGCAATGTAGGGGTTTCAGTCAATGTGGACACTGCCTTAGGCGGAGCTAGAGATTGAGGCCGGTGTAGACCTGACCGACTCTGGCACGGTTCTATGCGCAGTTAGCCCGGTCTCAAAAGTAATGTCCATTAAGGGAAGTTAAAATTAAGTTTGATGACAGAATGGTGCCAGAGAGCTTGTACGCCGGGTGAAAAAGGACACTGCGCACATTTTAAGAGGCCTCCCCCCGAGTCAGTATCCAGGCACCGAAGGGACTCTACACCCTTTGTGGGGTGTCTGCAGACACTGTGTTTATTTTCTGGCTAGGAACAGAAAGAGATGAAAAAGGACACAACGGCCACAATTATCCACACCTTGGCATCCCCTCAGCCACAAGCTTTGAAAGGGGGGAAGCCCACACCGGGGAGAACACGAGATGGAAGGGATCCTTACTTTTTGGACTATCTGGACTCCGCAGGGCGGCTCTTCCTTTGCCCTTGGGGGTTTTTAAGCCATCCGAGAGGTACTGATGACCGCTTTCTCCTAGCTCCAGCCGTCGCTTTGCCTGCAACGTGAAAGGACGATCGGTCGTCACTGGCCACGCGGGCGGTCACAAGCCGTGGGGCTGTTTGGGGGCCGGCCCTGCCAAATGCTGCGGGCACATGCCAACTCCCGGCACCTCTGCTCTGCCTCACTCGGGGCCCCTGTCATGCCCTCCGGTCAGATGCTGGCTCCGGGGGCTGGGCTGGCAAGGAAACTCTCTTCACCTGCCACAGATTACCCGTCTAGGCTCAGATGGACCGATCCACTGTCCTGCAGGATCAGGCCCGGGGGCCACATTGTTTACTCCTTCATTGATTCGACATATGTGCCAGGCGTGGGGTGAGACAGTCAGACCACAGCAGGCATCATGGAACGTAAATTCGCTTTTCCCTTGCGACACTTCGCCGCCTACCTTCATCTCTGATCTGGGTTGGACCTCTTCCCTTGTGCTCCCCAAACACTGTGTGTTTACATGCACGATAACACTTATTGGATAGAAGGGTTATTTTACTTATCTGTTTCTCATTTCCTTTAAGGCAGGGACTGTTTCCCATTTATCTTTGTATACCTAGTGCTTGGCATAGAGCCTGGCTTTCTGTAGGTATTCAATCACTCTCACTCTCTACATATTTATATTCAACGAAAGAGTGATTAAACAGCAACGCAGCTAGTCACAGACCGCAAATGGTCATTCATCAGAACAACAAATATTGTAAATGCTCAATCTTGGGCTTCAACTAGTATCACTGTCTCCATTTTTGTCATCAAACCTGGCAAATGAGAAGTCTTCATCCAAGTTTTTTTTTTTTTTAGAGGGGGAGAGGGGCAGAGGGAGAGAATCTTAAGGAGGCTCCACGCCCAGCGCAGAGCCCAACTCGGGGCTCGATCTCACAGACCCTGAGATCACGACCTGAGCCGAAATCAAGAGTTGGACGCTTAACCGACTGAGCTACCCAGGTGCCCCTTCATCCAAGTTTTTCATTTAATTTAATTTTACTTAAAAAATATTCACTTAGTTTCTATGGACTGGGCTTAGGGAACAGAGGTAAAGCAAGATGGGTAAGACTGTCTGCCTCCCTAGCACATAGAGTCCACGAGAGGAGACAGATAACTAAGTAATTGTTGTGTACTAACTAACTGTACGCTGGGATGGGTGTTCAGACAGGAATGGCACCCAACTAGACACCCCGCATGGCCATGTATCTTCAGGCTCATCTGAGGGCACATTCTTCCAATGAGGAGATGCACAATTTCATGGTAACCCCTCATGACACAGAAACAGAAGGAATAACTTATCAGCTGATGACAGACATGCAGCTTCTCTATAAAAAGTTACCAGCGAATCTTGCTCTGTTCAATCCAGAAGCCCCTTTAGCCACATGTGGCTCATCTGAATCAACATGTGCTCGAAGTATAAAATACACACCGGAGGTTGAAAACTCAGCACAGAAAAGGGTAAAGGATCTCACCAATACTTTTTACACAGATTACATGTTAAAATGATACTATTTTGCCTTTATGAAATGTGATTAAATCAGGTAGTATTAAAATTCTTATTTTACCTGTTTCTTTTTATATATATATATATACACACACACACACACATATATATATATATATATATTTTTTTTTTTACCATGTGGCTTAAATTTCTGGCACACGTGATCTTTCTGTTGGGCAATGCTGGGCTGAACTTCACTCTAAAGGCCTAGGAATGACATTTGGCAACTTTCTTCATTTTCCCCTCTGTCAAATATTCTGTCAAATCCTTGTGTGAGCCTGTTGTTTTAGTTGGCCTGGCAAACATTCCCTCTTCATGAGGCAAAAGCTCCCTGATTGTTTTTGGGGAGCACTCATCCCCGGTGCTAGCCCAAGTGCACTGTGCCCCTAGGTGACCCGGGCCTGGCTGATCTTTTGTTCCATCCTCCCCCTCCCTCACAGTGGCTGCGGTGAGCGGCATATGACCAAAGGGGGGTAAACAAAGGCCAGCCCCAGGGATTTTTCTGGAGCTACAGCAAAGAAGGCGTTGTGCCTTCCAAGGAAGGCTGACGTTAGCCAGAAGCCACCCGAGAATGGAGGGTCCACAGGGGCAAGTGGAGTGGAGAAAAGGAGAGAGAGGGTCTGAGGCTGTCCTTCAAGACTCTGAATCAGGTCATACGCTGGGGGCAACGGCTGGTCTTCGCCCCAGATTTCTCCGTTGCATCAGCCCATAACATCTCCTTTTTGCTTAAAGCTCTTTGAGTTAGGGAAATGGAAGTGTGGTATTGCAAGTGACAGCTTGTGGAACGGGCTGAGTCAAGCTGAGCCTTGGTGCAATGGGGAGCTGGCAAGCCTCGTTCAAGAGTGGCAGAGTGAGTGGGTCACCTCGTGGGGTCTTCAGGAAATTACTGCTGATAAGCTTCATTTGAGGCTTGCCTGAAAGTCGAGAGGGGGACAGCTTTGCTATGGAGGCCTTTTCTTTCCATCGAAAGCAATCCAAGAGATACAGAGCGGTAGCCCCTCCACGCGAAGGTCCCCAGAAGGAAGCCAAATGGGAAAAGAGCTGGGGATCTAGGACTCTTGGGCCCCTAGGTCGGGAAGTCTGTATACTCTCCCTGGACACTCACAAGAAAGAACCACCCACTGGCCAACGCTGGGGGCATGTTACTTTCGTCTCCCCATCCAGGCTATTGTTCCAAATTGCTTTGAGGCAAAGGCCTATGGAAGCCATAAACTGTAGGCTGGGGAAATTCCCAGAGATCTGTTGCCAAGAAACGGAGATCTAACTTTAAGGACCAGGACTAGGCAGGTTGTGTGACTTTGGATAGTTGATCCAATCTAAATACTAGATAGAAAATCTAAGAAATCTTAAGGGCAATTCTACTGCCAGAGATTCCTTAAGTCCAGAAAACAAAGGTCCATGATAGCAGCCTCTAAGGGAATCAATCACCAAGCCAATGCGTCTACACCAAGAAGAAATGAGCTGCGGAGGAAGGTCAGCCCCGCAAATCCTCCTGGAGGGTAGGAATCGAGGCAGCCTATCGGCTGCACAGTCACGTCCCCACCAAGTCTCCCAGGGCCTGGAATTTATTCCTGTGCAGGAGACACAACGTGCTTTGGGAGGCGATCCCTGTGTCATTTCCCTTCTCCCAGTGGACATTTCTGGTGGGCTATCCCGTGAGCCTCCCTCCATTGTGCAGTGGCAGGGGCTGAATGGATTTGAGAGAAACACACAGTACTTAACTACTTGTAGCTCCCAGGCCTGAGGACGGTCAAACTACACTAACTGGACTCTCTTTTGGGAAAGGGCCAAACAACTCTGGTCTCCGACGGAGCAGCATCACTTCAATGCTCACCTTAACAAAGGCAAGCACGCACGCTTGGTTAAAAAAAACCCCAAAGAACTATATGGGAGGTTTTAAACAGGACAGGTGGTCTCTGCTTACACCAGGGCAGATGGAAGTCTCTTTTGTTGGCTCTTAGTGTGACCATCTCCCCGAACTGTGAGTTACTCTGTTTACAAACAGACCTTCACATCACAGGGCCCCGACCAGTAAAGCAACTCATCTATCTGGTGCTCAGCAGAAGGCCCAGCTATTTGGTTCTAAATAAGAGTAAAGGTTAGACAGGAGCGATGCTATGTAGATCATTCCACACTGCCCAGGTATTATCAAGGGTAGCTTTTCTTACAAAGGAACCACGCACTAATTTTAGGACCTCAGCCCAAACTAAGATGACGTGCCTCAGTAATGAAACAGTTGGACTGTTAAACTGCTGAAAATGTATATATAAAAATAATAGGAATAACTGTCAGGCAGCCAAGCAGGAGGCTGTGAGGGGGAAACATCCACAGTTTCTGCCTGCCTGGCCCCTATTTTTCCCTTTGGGGAAGAAACTTCTCCCCAGTTCTTGGTTCAGATGGTTTCTTTGTCTCTAAGCCTGATAAGCAAAAAGCCTGCCATTGCTCAACCTCTTAGGCTGGCCCTTCCCATCAAGGGTTCAAAGGAGTGGACTGTAATCTGGGCCCGCCAATCTGTGTATTCCAGTCCCTTGGCTAATGGGCCTATGACCAAGGCAGGAGAATCAGCCAGTGCTGGGACTTTGGTTAGAAATGGTGGGTTCTTTTCACTAGGAGCTAGTAGGACGTAAGCCTGGAGCTACCTGGGAAGTGAACCAACGTGGAAGGAAAAAGCTGGAGAGAGACTGAGGCCCAGGGCCTTCAAGGGAGGTACTAGATAGAGCCACGCCCAAAGGCAGGTCTACCCAAGACTTCCATTTGTGTGAACCAACAAATTCCCTTTCTTGGTACAAGAAAACTGAGTTAGATCACCACCATTTGCAACCCAGTGTCCTGGCAGAGCTAGCCTGCTAGCATTAGCTAGAACACAAGGAACCTGAGTACGTACGTGTCACGCACCGTTAATTGCTTTCCATTTCATTACGCTATCTCATTTTCACGACATTCCCAGAAGATAGTTGTTACTATTATTTCCTATCCTACAGGAAAAGATGAAGGTTTAGAGCACCTAAGTAACTTTTCCAGGATCCCAGTCAGTAAATACACCTACTCAAGTCCATGCCTACAACTGCTTTACAAAATGATTGTGAAAAACCGCCATGTAAGAATATTTGAACAGTTTCATTAAACTGATGCTGTCTTACTCTATGATAAACGTAGAGTTTTACTTATTTCATAATTTTTAAGAACTTTCCTTTACACAATAAACATGGAAATTCACATGGAAATTCAAACAGTGCAAATGCCCTTATGAGGAAAGCAGATCTTTCCCCCCTCTCCTGACCCTGTTCCCTTCCTCAAAGGCAAGACTGTTAAGTTCCTTTGATATCCTTTTATTTTTAAAAGATTTTATTTACTTGAAAGGGAGAGAGTGCGCATATGGGTGGGGGGAGGCACAGAGGGAGAGGGAGAAACAGACTCGCCGCTGGGCAGGGAGCCCAACGCGGGGCTCAGATGCAGGGCTCAGATGCAGGGCTTGATCCCACAACCCTGAGGTCATGACCTGAACTGAAATCAAGAGTCAG